GTTTCAAGCAAATTCTGAGATGGAAAATATTACCTCTCTAAGAACATTGGTCATGGCTGTTTCTGACTGTGTCACACGCACCTTGCGCAATCGAGACTTGCAAATTTTCTAAAACAACACAAAGTTATGTCCATATATCATAGGTGTTCATCCAATTCCAGATAGTGGCTATCAATGCATCGCGTACCAGATACTAAAAGGAATGAGATTCTACTACTTTTTAACACCAATGAAAAAACTGAAATATAGAATAAAGTAAAAAACAACTAGAACTTGAGTACACAACTTATGGAGAAAAGAAAAATTCCAGCTACCTTTAAAGCATATGGATTTCCATCACTAACGTTCCGATAGAGCACCTGCACAGAGTCAGCAAATTATTTTATTTCTGTTGCCATCTATACCTCCTAAGTCCAAAGCAGGGCAAAAAATTACCACTTTCCCGTAGCTTCCTCGATTAATCTCTTGCTCCTTCACATATTCATTGATCATCTTCTTCCCATTTAAATGCTACATATTTAACATCAAAATCTGGTTAGAATTCAAACATAACTTCAACTATAATTTTAATAGAACACAAAGCACTAAGAAGAATACAGTTTCTTGAAAACTACCTTGGTATATTTGACAGAACTAGTTTCTTTAACAGGAATCTTCTTCCTTAGCATGCATGGAACTGGCAGTTCTCTGTCCGAACCAGGAAAAGAACTTCTACATGATGATTTTTCATTGAGAAACACTTCTGCCTTATCTTGAAAATTAGTTTTGGAGGTAATGAGTAACAAGGACTTCTCAGGACCGTGAAGAACTGGAAGAGAATTGCAGCAATTCATGTCCTCACCATACTTGTAACACAGCACATTAGACATGGCTACTACTATTCTTCTTGGAAAAGCTTCAACTCTCAGAGTGAGAAAAGACAAAATGATCAAAACCAACTGAAAATTTTCACTTCAGTGTACTTTATTCAACATCAAGAAATAGAAGGCAGGTTCCTGAAACCGCTTAAGAACTCTAGTCTTCATTCAACCAATGCAAAACTCCAAATTGTTATCTTTTGCTCTCGACCATTCATTCTAACATTGTCATAAGAGTTGTTCACTCAAAAGCAAAAGGTAAACGTCATGAAAAAGCAAAAAGGTCTGTGTCGGCAATAGTTTCAAGATTAGTGCCTTGACTGGTAGGTTTGAAGTTTGCTGCAATGTGATTGTCATAGAACTCTCTACATAAGAACACATTGATAGGACTATCAATTTATTGTTTGTGGTTACTTGAGGGAAAAGATGTTATTATACCGGTTATATCCCCGATTCAGTCCCTCAACTTTCATTTTTGGACTAAAATTACCCT